TATGACCCAGCATTTCCACTCCTAGGTACCTACCCAAGCAAGAGAACGGAAAACATATGTCCATATAAAAACTGGTACACAAATGTTTATAGCAGCATGACTCAAAACAGACAAAAAGTAGAAAAACTCAAATTTCTATTAACCAATAAATAGGTAAAATAAATATGGTATAACGACAGAATGGATATTACTATTTGGCCATAGAAAAGAAATGACATGACACAACACGAAAGAACATTATGCTAAGTGAAAGAAGCCAGTCACAAGATACCAGTCACATGATTCTGTTTACATGAAATGTCCAGAATAGACAAACTCAGAGAGATTAAAAAGTAGATTCAAGGTTGCGAGGAGCTAGGAGGTGGGAGAAATGGGGTGACAGGTATATAGTTTCCATTTGGGGTGATGAAAATGTTCTGGAATTTGACAGTGATTATAGTTGCACAACCTGTGAATGTACTAAGAACAACTGAACTGTTCACCTGAAAGGGTAGGTGGCCAAACCACAAGCATGTAGCACTAAGCAATAACAATGCCTGCTTCTCAATTTCAGTCACAGGAATGATGACACATTAGAAAAATGGAAGTTTGTGATAGATAAGTAGTAACATGATTGTTATCTTTATTTTGCATTCCACTATCTAGGATCAACCTTATCCTAAAGTTCACATATACTTGATTATTATTTTTAAAAATAGATTGCTTTTATATTTCCCCTAAATAAATATGCAAACCTTGCTCTAACTTTAATTATTCTGCCTCAAAATCAATCTTAAAGAATTGATTACATCAACAAATTAATGAGGGGGAAAAAGGAACATAATGTGTGATTTTTAGGTGAATTAATTATTCAGCCCCATAAAAAAACTTACTGCTATTATTTCAGCCTACATATCACTAATAAATTAGAACAGAATTGAATATAGTATCCAACTATTTGAAATCCATCAGAATTATATTAGTACTAGAGGCCCGGTGCACAAAAATTTGTGCACTCGGGGGTCCCTCAGCCTGGCCTATGCCCTCTTGCAGTGTGGGATCCCTCGGAGGATGTCCGCCTCAGTGGGGACCCTCACCCCATGGAGGTTTGGCCAGCCTGGGTGAGGGGCTGATGGCTGTTTTCAGGCTGGCCACACCCCCTTTAGGGTAGGGGGTCCCCACTGGGGTGCCTGGCCAGTCTGGGTGAGGGGCTGAGGACTGTTTTCAGGTTGGCCAAGCACCCTGGCGACATAAGCTCCCAGCCTCTCCTTTTTTTCTTTTTTTTTTTTATTCTGGGATTTATTTACCTTCCATAATTGAAACTTTGTTGCCTTTAGCGGAGGCCTGAGGAAAGCTTGGCTTCCTCCATCGCCAGGGGCAACCCACCCCTGCTCGCTCCAGCTCCGTGGCTGCCGGCTGCCATCTTGGTTGGGTTAATTTGCATATAGTTGCTCTGATTGGCTGGTGGGCGTGGCTTAAGGTGTAGCAAAAGTATGGTCAATTTGCATGTTTGTCTTTTATTAGTATAGGATAGTTTACAGTGATCGAAATTTTAATTCTGCAGAGAACATTATTTTACATGAATTCTTACCTGGATCTAAAATTCAAATTCTTTGAAAGCTACTTAAGTGCAGCCACTGTAAAATTGAATATACAGTGGGGCCTTGACTTATGAGTGTCCCGACTGATGAGTTTTTTCGAGATACGAGCCGTCTCTCGGCCGATTTTTTGCTTTGAGTTGCGAGCTAAAATTCGGGTTACATACAAGCCAGCTTCAGATACCCCACCGCTAGTTGGCACAGCGAACGTCACAGTGATTTGACATATGAGTAATTTGAGTTACGAGCTCTGTCAAGGAACGAATTAAACTCATAAGTCAAGGCCCCACTGTACTACAATCATATTTTTAAAATATTATTTGCATGTAAAATATGGTATCTAGATAGAAAAAAAAATAGAAGGAAATACAGAAATGTGACAATTATTGCTTTATTAGGGTGGCCAGATTATGGGTGACTAACTTTTTAAACATTTCCTCATTGGTAGAATCATCTCTGAAAAAAGTAATTTGGCTATCCTATATAATAAAAGGCTAATATGCAAATCGCTGAACAGTGGAATGACTGGTCGCTATGACGCGCACTGACCACCAGGGGGCAGATGCTCTACGCAGGAGTTGCCCCCTGGTGGTCAGTGCACTCCCACAAGAGGAGCGCTGCTCAGCCAGAAGCCAGGCTCAGGGCTAGCAAGTGCAGCAGCAGTGGCGGGAGCCTCTCCCACCTCTGCAGCAGGCAGACATCCCTGGAGGGGTCCTGGATTGCGAGAGGGTGCAGGCTGGGTTGAGGAACAACCCCCCTCCCTACCCAGTGCACAAATGTTGTGCACCAGGCCTCTAGTATTTAATAACAATGTATTTGCATCAAAATGACTGCATGTAAACAGCTTTCAAATAATTTGAATGTTAGATCCAGATCAGAGTTCATGTAAATTAAGGTTCTCTGCAGAATTAAATTTTCAGATTACCCCAGAGAAATCCTTATCTCATACAGAAAAGTAAAAAACCATGTTGAGTAAAAAGAGCAAGGAGAGAATGCTAGGGTAAAACCACTCAGATCAAGTTTTAAAACATTAAATAATACTATATAAATACATACACAAGCAGTAAAAGCATAAACACATGTATAATATAATAAATATAACTTCAAAAATGGAAAGAAATGTTATATGGGGCTCCATTGTATTTGTTTTACTTTTTTTTTTAAAATATATTTTATTGATTTTTTACAGAGAGGAAAGAAGAAGGATAGAGAGTTAGAAACATCAATGAGAGAGAAACATCGATCAGCTGCCTCCCACACACCTCCTACCGGGGATGTGCCCACAACCAAGGTACATGCCCTTGACCAGAATCGAACCTGGGACCTTTCAGTCTGCAGGCCGACGCTCTATCCATTGAGCCAAACCGGTTAGGGCTGTTTTACTTTTTTAAAAAAATCTGAAACAAATGTGGCAAACTTAAAAACTGACAAAGGAGCTGGATTTTAAAATGTACATTTTTTTTCTGTTTGCTTTCAATATGCTTGAAATATTTAAAATAAAAGAAGTCAAATTTTCTTCTTTTTAAATATTTTTTTATTGATTTCAGAGAGGAAGGGAGAGGGAGAGAGAGATAGAAACATCAATGATGAGAGAGAATCATTGATTGGCTGCCTCCTGCACGATTGAGCCTGCAACCCAGGCATGTGCCCTGACTGGGAATCAAACCATGACCTCCTGGTGCATAGGTCAATGCTCAACCACTAAGCTATGTCTGGGCAGAAGTCAAATGTTCTTACTCCAAAGGCAAAGCAACAGAAGCAAAAATAAATAAGTGGGACAAATATCAAAAAGCTTCTGCATAGCAAAGAAAAAACCATGACAAAATGAAAGCACATTTCTCCTACCGAATGGGAGAAAATGTTTGCAAATTCTATTTCTGATAAGGAGTTAATATACAAAATATATAAAGACCTCATACAAGTCAATAGCAAAAATAATCAGTTTAAGATGGCAGAAGATCTGAACAGACATTTTTTTCAAGGAAGACGTATGATGGTCAGCAGGTACATGAAAGAGTCTTAATATCACTAATCATCGGGGAAATGTAAATCAAAACCGCAATGAGATAGCACCCCACACCTGTTAGAATGCCTATTATCAAAAGAGGCAAGAAACAAGTGTTAGTATGGATGTAGAGAAAAGGGAACCTTTTTGCACTGCTGGTGGGATTATAAATTGGTGCAGCCACTATGGAAACCAGTATAGAAGTTCCTCAAAAAATTAAAAATAGAACTACCACGTGACCCAGCAATGCCATATCTAGAAATATATCCAAAGAATACAAAACATTAATTCAAAAAGGTATCTGTACCCCCATGTTCAGTAAAGTATCCTATATAATAAAAGCCCAGTGACCGAACTGTGAACAACTGCTCGACCAGTTGCTATGACAGCCACTGACCAGCAGGGGGCAGATGCTCAACGCAGGAGCTGCCCCCTGGTGGTCAATGAGCTCCCACAGTGGGAGTGCCACTCCGCTGACCAGGATGAGCGGCTGCTCCCACAGCGGGTGGATCCCCACAGGCCACACCCCACACCAGTGCACAAATCCCGTGCACCAGGCCTCTAGTTATTTTTAATGGCCAAGACATGGAAACAACCAAAATGTTCATAAATGGATCAACAGATAAAGAAAATGTGGTATATGTATACAATGGAATATTATTCATCCATAAAATAGAAGAAAATCTTGACAACTGGAACTACATGGATGGACCTTGAGGGCATTATGCTAACTGAAATAAGCCAGACAGACAAAGACAAATATCATATTATCTCACTTATATGTGGAATCTAAACAAAACACAAACAGCCCAACTCAAACATACAGAGAACAGACTGGTGGTTTCGAGGATGAGAGAAAGGGGCAGCAGGAATAAATGAAGGCAGTCAAAAGGTACGAACTTCCAGCTATAAAAAAAATAAATTATGAAGATGTAATGTACAGCATGGTGACCATAGTTAATACTGTACCATATATTTCAAAGTTGCTAAAAGAATAAGCCTTAAAATGTTTCATCACAAAAAAATAAAATTTGTAATTATGTATGGTAATGAATGTTAACTAGACCTATCATTTTGCAATATATACAAATATTGAATCATTATGTTTTATACCTCAAACTAATATAATGTTATATATGCCAATTATATTTCTAAAAAAGGTCAAATTTAAAAAAATAAGTACATTTTATTTTTGTTTCCAGATCCTGAGAAATAAACTATTATGCCTTAAGCTATCTTTGTTATAGGTAATATTTGTCTAGATATTTATCTTTAAGCTAAAAATATTAAGATGATTAAGATAGAATATATTAAATAACAAAACCCCACACATCATTACTATGAAATCTCCATAGTTCCTGAAAATAAATCAGTTCATTAAGAAAATATTCAGAAACTCTGTCAATTTTAGACCATACCTGGCCTTGCATTTCCGGTCTTACAGGATATGTACTTGTTGGGTAAGGAGCCCTAGGTCGGGCAGAGTTCCAGTAGTTGGAATTGTAGCTAGGATATGGTGGCTGCTCCTAAAACAAAAAACAAAAGAAAGTGGAAAATAAATGCACTTTTACTAACATTCTTACATTATTCTGAGAAGTTGAGAGAGACAGATATAAGTTTCAAAAAAGAAGAAAAAGCACTAGAACCCTTCTATAAAATCAATTATTATTAAATTGATGCAGATATATATGATAAATCACATGCCCTGGGACAGGGGTGGGGAACATTTTTTCTGCCAAGAGCCATTCGGATATTTATAACATCATTCATGGGCTGTACAAAATTATCAACTTAAAAATTAGCCTGCTATATTTGGTCAAACATTTAATTAACTCACCCCTAATGCCTTGGCAGGGCCAGACCAAACAATATGGCCCATGGGCTGGATGTTTCCCACCCCTGCCCTAGAACAAAACAATATTGACTGTCTAGTAAAAGCCTGTTCTTATGCATTATGCCAATACTACCAGACCAAATGATATATAAAGGAATTTTACTATGTCAAGATGATTAGCAAAACCAGAAACATTAGATTCCTTTATCCCTCTCCAATCACTAACTCCATCAATACTAAAATTTAATTAATGCAGCAAATTATAGTTCTTTGCCATTATTGAGTAGTATTTACTTATTTCAATAACTTTGGAACTTGAAAGTATTACTACTAAACTTTACCTCAAATTTACTTTATTAAACTTTTAGTACTTCAAATACATAAAACTTTAATACTCAACTTCTTTGCCTAGCTACTCTAGTTTTTTCACATTCCTCTACACCAGTGATGGCGAACCTTTTGAGCTCGGCGTGTCAGCATTTTGAAAAACCCTAACTTAACTCTGGTGCCGTGTCACATATAGAAATTTTTTGATATTTGCAACCATAGTAAAACAAAGATTTATATTTTTGATATTTATTTTATATATTTAAATGCCATTTAACAAAGAAAAATCGACCAAAAAAATGAGTTCGCGTGTCACCTCTGACACGCATGTCATAGGTTCACCATCACTGCTCTACACTCTGCTATGGCTCAGCTTTGTGCTGGTAACCTATAACTAACTTCATATCAGGAATTAATATAGAACAATTTGGTAATTTTCTCCAAGGAGAAAATCTAGCTATGACATTAAACTCTACAGCTTTTAAGTCCAACTCAAAAAGTTAATGTAATTATTTGCAATAAGCCAATAAAACTGATGAGACAAGATCAACTCAAAACTTTTCAAAGTTTGGTTTAATATATACATTTGTTACCCTATAAGCTGTTATTGTGCTTTGAACTTTGTAGTTTAAGTATAGTTTTAAGCTTAAACAGAATCTTTGAATTTTCCCCAAAAACTGTGAATAAGGTTTCACAAAGAAGTGAACTGGCAGTGTGATCACTGAGAGTTTAATTTTCACCATCTGAGCTTAATTACAATACTTATCCGTTTCATAAAACTGTTCCTAAAGTTTGTAATTATTCTATATGACAGTATACTAGGTGTACCGGTTAATAATGACGGATTTTGTAATCAAAGAAAACACGATAATTTCAAGAGAAACATCAAAAGTGCTTTATTCAAAGTAATGTCCATTGCTAGTTACACATGTCCCCCATCTTTCAGGTAATTTGTGGATACCGTCCCAATAGAACTTTTCTTGTTTTGAGGCAAACCATTCAGAGACCCAATTTTCATCTTCTTCGTATGCTTTGAAGTGCTGCTCAGAAAGTGTGCCATCGATCGGAACAAGTGGTAATCTGAAAGAGCAAGGTCTGGTGAATACAGTGGGTAGGTTAATACTTCCCAGTCAAGACCTTTTAACGTGTCTTTAACTGGTTTTGAAGTGTGTGATGGTGCATTATCATGAAGCAAAATCACTTTGCTGTGTCTTCTGGCACATTCTGGTCGTTTCACGATCAGAGCGTGGTTCAAATTGATTATTTGTTGCCGGTAGCAATCAGTATTAATGGTTTCACCTGGTTTTAGAAGCCCATAATACACCACACCCTCCTGATCCCACCAAACGCAAAGCATTGTCTTCTTTCCGTAGCGATTTGGCCTTGCAGTCGATGTTGATGGTTGACCTGGATCAACCCATGATTTTGTGCATTTGGGATTCTCAAAATAAATCCACTTTTCATCGCCAGTCACAATTCGATGCAAAAAAGACTTTCTTTCATGCCGTTGAAGCAACATTTTACT